ACATTATTGATTTGCATCTGTTGAACCATACATGGCTTGTAGGAATAAAGCCCACTTAATCACTGTGAATGATCCTTTGATATACTGTTGGATGCAGCTTGTGTGTTTTGATGAGAATTTTTGCATCTGTGTTCATCAGGGATATTAGCTGATAGTTTTCTTTGTTGTAGCCTTTCCATTTTTTGGTATCAAGATGATAACTGGCTTCATAGAATGAGTTAGGGAGGAGTCCCTCCTTCTGGATTGTTTGGAAACATTTCATTAGGATTAGTACTAGCTCTTCCTTGGATGTCTAGTAAAATTCAACTGTGAATCTGTCTGGTTCAGTGCTTTTTTTGGTCGGTAGGTTGTTTCACTACTGATTCAATTTTGTGACACATTATTGGTCAGTTCAGGGCTTCAGTTTCTTTCTGTTTCAATCTCGGGAGGTTGTGTCTTTCAAAGAATATCCTTTTTCTCTAGATTTTCTAGTTTACATGTATAGAGAAGTTTAAAGTAGTCTCAGAATCACTTGTATTTCTGTGGGATTGGTTGTAATGTCACTTCTGATTGTGCTTATTTGGAGATCTCCCCCTGCCCCTCTCTCTTTCTCCGTTAATTTGACCAGTGGGCTATCAATACTGTTTATCCTATCAAAGAACCAACTTTTTGTTTCAGTGATCCTTTGTATGGTTTATTTCACTTCAATTTCATTTAGTTCTACTCTGATTTTCTTATTTTCTTCTGCTAGCTTTGAGTTTAGTTCTTTTTTTTTTTTTTTTTTTTTTTTTGAGTTGAAGTCTCACTCTATCACCCAGACTGGAGTGCAATGGCCGCTCCCGGCCACATCAGCCTCCACCTGCTGGGCTCCAGCGATCCTTCCGCCTCAGCCTTCCGGGTAGCCGGAATTACAGGCATGCGCTACCATGCCTGGCTAATTTTTTGATTTGTTGTAGAGATAGGGTCTCGCCAAGTTGCCGAGGCTGGTCTTGAACCCACGGGCTCAGGCAATCCACTCACTCCAGCCTCCGAAGGCGTGGGATTACAGGCTGAGCCACCGAGCCCGGCTGAGTTTAGTTAATTCTTATCAGTTCCTTTAGATGCATTGTAGGTTGTTTGAGACCTTCTATCTTCTTGATGTTGTCATTTAGCACTATAAACCTTCCTCATAATACTGTTTTTGTGGCATTCGAGAGGTTTTATGTCTTTATGTTGTATCTGAATGTCTTTGTATGTTGTGTCTCTACTTTTATTTGTTTCAACGAATTGTTTTTATTTCTGTCTTGACTTCATTGTTTACCCAAAAATCATTTTGGAGCAAGTTGTTTAGTTTCCCTGTATTTGTGTGGTTTTGAGAATTCTTCTTGTTATTGATTTCTATTTTTTATTCTGCTGTGGTCTGAGAAGATGGTTAGTATGATTTTGGCTTTTTGGAATTTACTGAGACTAGCTTTATGACCGAGCATGTGGTTGATCTTAGTACATGTTACATGTGCAGATAAGAATATATATATACTATAGTTGTTGGTGGAGTATTCTGTAGATGTCTATTAGATGCAGTTGACCAAGTCTTGAAATTAAGTCCAGGATTTCTTCGCTTTCTGCATCAATGATCTGCCTAATACTGTCAGTGGGGTGTTGAAATCCCCCACTAGCATTGTGGAACTGTCTAAGCCTTCACTTAAGTCTAGTATTGTTTTATAAACCAGGGTGCTCCAGTGTTAGGTGCATATTTATTTAGGATAGTTAAGACTTCTTGTTGAATTGAACTCTTTATCATTATGTAATGCCTTTCACTATTCTTTTTTACTGCTACTGGTTTAAAGTCTATTTCATCTGATACAAAAGCAGCTCCTGCTCTTTTTTATTTTCCATTTGCATGGTAGATCTTACTCCATCCCTTCAGCTTTAGCCTTTGGGTATCATTAGATGTAAGATGGGTCTCCTGAAGACAGCAGTGGAATTGGTATTTTTTAAAATCCAATTTTCCATTCCATGTCTTTTAAGTGGGGTATTTATGCTATTGACATTCAAGGTTAACATGGCATGTGGGTTTTTGTTCCTGTTGTAGTGCTGTTAGCTAGTAGCTCGTGCTGTTAGCGTTGTAGTTGGTCATATGGTTGCTTTATAGGGTCCTTGGGCTATGTGCTTACATCTGCTTTTGTGTTAGGAAGCATCTTTCTTTTGTTTTTGCATTGACTTTAGATAGTCTGATGACTATGTGCCTTGGGGTAGTCATCTTACATAATATCTCACAGTAGTTCTCTGAATTTCTTGTATCAGCATGTTGACTTCTTACAAAATTGAGGAAGTCTTCTTGGATTGTGCCGTCAACCATTTTTTCCAGATTTTTTTCCATTCGTTTTTCTCTCTCAGGAATGCCAATCAGTCACAGATTTAGTATCTTTACAAAATCCCTTATTTCTTGAAGGTTTCATTCATTTTTTTAATCCTTTACATTTTTCCTGACTTGGTTGAATTAGAAGAATTGGTTTTCAAGCTCAGAAATGCTTTCTTCTGTTTGATCTAGTCTGTTATGAAGGCTTGTGACTGTATTTTGCAATTCCTGAAGTGAATTCTTCGATCTCAAAGGTTCCATTTTGTTCTTTCTTAGTATGGCCATATCCTCTCTCAATTCTGGGATTACTTTTTGGCCTCTTTGTTTTGGATTTCAACTTTCTCTTGGATTTTGTTGAGTTTCCCCTCCATATTTTGCATTCTATATCTATCATTTTGGACATTTCATTCTGGTTAGGATTTATTGCTGGAGAGCTGATGCGATCCTTTGGAGGTGATAAAACACTCTTGCTTTGGTATTGCCAGAATTCTTGCACTGGTTCCTTCTCATCTGGAGGAGCTGACTCTCTCACTCTCTCTCTCTTTTTTTTTTTTTTGCATGTGCTATTGTTGGGATGGGGATTTTTTCCCATTGTGGATATGTGGTATATGTTGCATACAGCCAATAGGCTTCACTTAGCGCTCTACCTCCGCTTTCTCTCTTTAACCCACAAGCAACATGGGCATAGGCTGGGAAGGGCCAGCAGTGCCTTTGGAAGTTGAATCCTCAGTGGAACACTGAGCCACAGGCATGGTGCATTCGGTGTTCAGGCGAGGGCAGGGCAGCTGTGCCACGCAGGGGGACTTCCATGGAAGCAGGGAGGCCCAGCCTGGCAAAAGCTGAGGAGGTATACCACCTCTCCATTCCATCTCTGACCTGCATGTGACAGGGCTGAAGGCCGCAGAAGAAGTGGATGCAGGAGGCCTATCAGTGACCCCTGAAAGCTGGCAGCCTTTGGGATTCAAGCTGCAGCAGCACTGTTCAGGCGGCGTGGGCCAAGTGCAGTAGGGGCCTGTCTCCAAAGCAGGCGAGGATTGTTTGGCAGGAAGCAGAAGAGCTAGGGGGACCGCAGTGTGTGTTGTCCACTGGTTCCTTCCTTCCATGGCTGCAATATCTGTCCTGGGGGTGTGCACCAGACTGCTCAGGGAAGAAGAGCCCACTGGGTTCCATGTGGGCCTAAGCGGTGGTGCCTCTATTCAGACTCTGAGCAGCTCCTTGATCTGACTGCAGGTGGGAGGGTGCAGTTTGATGAGGCTCTCCTCTGACTAGGTTTGCATGCACTTACCCCTTCCCCACATTAAAAATCCTCTCCCGGCTGGGCTCAGTGGCTCAGCTTGTAATCCCAGCACTGTGGGAGGCCGAGGCGAGTGGACTACCTGAGCCCGTAGGTTCAAGTCCAGCCCGGGCAACTTGGTGAGACAATAAATCAAAAATTAGCCAGGTGTGGTAGTACACGCCTGCAGTTCCGACTACTTGGAAGGCTGAGGCGGAAGGATTGCTGGAGCCCCGTAGGTTGAGGCTGGGATGACAGAGTGAGACTCCAACTCAAAAAAAAGGAAAGAATCTTCTCCCAGCTCCATATCAGAGCCAGCTCTGCAGGCTGCCCAGCCTAGCTCTCCCCCACTTTCTGTGGTTCCCATCACTTCTCTGTTGAACTGCAGCACGTCTCCTCAGACAATCCACCCAAAGAGCTAGTGTTCATTCACTCTGACAACTCCACGAGAGAGGGTGTGCCCACTATTGCTTCTAAGTCAGCCATCTTGAACCAAAGCTCTGGAATTTCAAATAAGGAGTACTAAAGGAGACTAAAAATTGAGCTCCTCAACCACACTCATCACGCTCCAAGTGCTAAATAGCCACAGGAGGCTGGTCGCTACTGTGCTGTACAGTGCAGAAAATGGAGCATTTCCATGACTAGAGAAAGTTCTACTGCATAGTGCTCCTGAGAGGTGACCCTGGGTGTGAGCTGTCAAAAATGAGAAGGGCAACGATATGCAATCTGTGATCCTGGATGGATCCTGGTTCAAAAGAGGGACATGACTGGCTCATTTGACAAAATCAGATTAAGGTCTAAGGACTAGTAAATAGTATCAACATTAATTTTATGACTTTGAAAATTATACTAGGCAGGGCATGGTGGCTCATGTCTGTAATCCCAACACTTTGGGAGGCTGAGGTGAGAGGATCGCTTGAGCCCAGGAGTTTGAGACCATCCTGGACAGCATAGTGAGACCTCATCTCTACCAAAAAAATCAAAAAATTAGCCGGGCTTGGTGGTGCGTGCCTGTAGTCCTAGCTACTTGGAAGACTGAGGCAGAAGGATCACTTGAGCCCAGGACAGAGCAAGACCCTGTCTTGAAAAAAATGAAAAGGAAAAGGAAAGAAATGAAAAAAATTATACTGCAGTTATGTAAGAAGCTAATATTTGGGGAAGCTACATGAAGAGTATTTGGAAATTCTTTGTACTATTTCTGCAGCTTTTTTTGTAAGTCTGAAACTATTTCTGCAGCTTTTTTTGTAAGTTTGAAATGATTTCAAAATAAGAAGTTTTAAAATGTTTAAAAATTATAAAACAAGAGGTAAAAATGAGAGCTTGTGCCTTCCAGAACTATCAAAGTATACAAATCAGCTTGTAAATAGAAGCAGTTGTGGAGTAAGCATGGCATTCTTGAAAACCAGTAAATAAGTTAAGAGCAGACCATTCTATATATGATGAATGGAGCCCTCCTGCCAGGTCAGAGTGGCACCCGACCCCACTACCTTATTAGCCATGGGGCCCGGGCAGGCTGCTTCCTCTCCCTGGGCCTTAGTGTCCTATCCATAAAGATGACCCTTGCGTCTTCAGGGAAAGTTGTGAGGCTCCACGATGATGAAGGCAAAAGTGAGCTGAGAGCTGCAAAGGACCAGGCAGATTAGCCAGAACACCTGAAACAGGCCCCTGGACCCATCCTCATGAAAAGATTACTATACAAACATATGCCTGCTGGTCTCTGCACAATTGTATTTCAGTAGAAGCAGCTGAAGGTCTGTTGGCAGTGATTTTTTTTTAAGCCTTTAAATAGTGGTCATCTTCTGTTCAGGTGGCGCCATGCTCTGAGGTCCCACGTGTCTGAAGGTCCAGTCCCTCTGGTTACATCGCTGTGCATCTCCTAGAAGCACTCGGGTCTGCCTTTGCTTTCTTCCTGATACTTTCTGCAAAAGACAAGAATCTTATTGCCTCACATCACCTAACCTCTGCTTCAAAGGGCTGGCTTGTTTTTTGTTTTTTAAAAAGAATGGGTCTGCAGCTCATGCTGTAATCCTAGCACTTTGGGAAGCAGAGGCAAGAGGATTGCCTGAGCCCAAGGGTTCAAGTCCAGCCTGGGCGACTTGGCAAGACCTCGTCTCTACAATACATCAAAAAATTAGCCAGGCACCTGTAATTCCAACTACTTGGAAAATTGAGGTGGAAGGATTGCCTGAGTCCAGCAGGTTGAGACTGTGGCAGCCTTGAGCATGCCACTGCACTGAGCCTGGGCAACTCAAAAAAAAAAAAAAGAGAGAGAGAGAGAGACTGGGTCTCACTGTTGCCTAAATTATCTCAAATTCCTGGGTTCAAATGATCGCTCCCTCCCCATACCCCACCCCCACCCTTCTGAGTAGCTGGGACTACATGTGCACCACTGCACGCAGCAGAAGGCTAGGCTTTTCTGGGTTTTGTTGTGAGTCGAAGTCACTCTGACATTCAGGCTGGAGTGCAGTGGCACCCTCGTGGCTACTGTAGCCTCAACCTACTGGGCTCAGGCAATCCTTTCACTTCAGCCTCTCAAGCAGCTGGGACTACAGGCATGCACCACCATGCCTGGCTAATTCTTTAATTTATTATAGAGACAAGATCTCGCCATGTTGCCCAGCCTGGTCTCAAACTCCTGGGCTCAGGCAATGCTCTCGCTCTGGCCTCCCAAAATACTGGAATTACAGGCATGAACCACTGCACCCAGTCAGAAGTCTGGTTTTATATTTTAATTGCCTGCCAGAGCTTGTGTTAAAAGGAGATGCACCAACTATATTTAAGAACATTTGGGGCTGAATGTAGTAGCTCATTCCTGTAATCCCAGCACTTTGGGAGGCCAAGGCAGGAGGATTGCTTGAAGCCAGGAGTTCGAGACCAGCCTGGGCAACATAGTGAGACCATCTCTCTAAAAAAGAAATACATATACATTTCACATTATAAAAAAAAGAGATGGCAACCCCTTTGGGTCCCCTCCCACTGTGGCAGCTTTTCTTTCCTCTCAATAAATCCTGCTTTCTAAAAAAAAAAAACATTTTGAAAGAAAAAAAGGCTTCCCTAATTCCTCTATCCTGAGATGACTCTTTGCTTTCCCACCTTGCCTGTAGCAGCTGTGGGTTGGCCACTATCACTATGCCGGGGCTTTCCATTTTCCCTCAATAACAAGCTATAAATGTTTTCCTTGTTGCCTCATGGGTAACAGAGCCTTCACAACTACCAGTAACTGCTAATACCCCATCCTGTGGTTGCTCCATCATGTACCATGTCAACGAATATTGCAGTGTTTTAAAGTTTTGTCAGCCAGGCGCAGTGGCTCACACTTGTAATCCCAGCACTTTGGGAGGTGGAGGTGAGAGGATAGCCTGAGTCCAGGGATTCGAGACCAGCCCAGACAACTTGGCAAGACCTCGCTTCTACAATAAAAATCAAAAAATTAGCTGGGCATGATGGCACACGCTTGTGGTTCCAGCTACTTGGAAGGCTGAGGTGGAAGGATCACTTGAGCCCAGCAGGTCAAGGCTGCAGTGGCCATGAACACGCCTCTGCACTCCAGCCTGTGACAGAATGAGACTCTGACTCAAAAAATAAAAAGAAAGCTGTCTGTCATTTTTTTAAATGATGGATTAGTACTAGAAATTTCTATTCTACTTGCCTGATGGTTCCACAAAAATGCTCTGAACCCCAAATCAGGCTTTTGGGATTTGCACACTCAAATAGTTTATGATAGCTTCGTAAGTTTTATTTGACCAGATCTGATTGGTTCAACTCCTGTTAAGCCAGTCTTGGCTCCTATGTCTTCATGTTTGTGAAAATGAAGTCTGAAGACTATTCCAGCCTCATTCCAAACTGGGGCAAGAAAATCAAGGCACCCATGAGAAAAAGATTACAGTGTGCTCGGGGGCTGTGAAGATCACAGGGTCCAATTTGGGCCAACACCCTCCTTGCGCTGACGGAGACACTAGGGCCAGGAAGAACTGTGGTCTTCCCAGGGCTCTGCTGCCTGCAAAGAGGAGGCAGGGCTGGGACTAGGAATCAGGAAGGTCCAGAGCCAGCATCATAGCATTCTGGTCTGAGCAGCTTGTGGAGGGGCCTGTGCATTCCAGCGGGGGCCACACAGCCCCTGAGTCGCAGCCTGACAGAGCACCCCTTACCAGCCAGGTCCCTCCTGCCGATGGTCACGAGGCCCTCAAACAGTGCTCTGCTGGGGTTCTCACCAGCCATGACCACACCGTGCAGCCAGATGAGCAACATCCGGTGGCCGTGCTCCTGGTAGCTCCTGGTGCCTGAGGATGTTGAGGAGAGAGAGGAGGAGGGGGGAGGAGCTCAGCAGGCTGCCTCCTGGACACCCCCTGGTGGGAAAGAGGCTGAGGGCCGCACCAGGCCCTTCTCTGGGCTCCAGCAGAGCTCAGCCCAGAGATGGGGAGGTGGAGCAGCCTCTCAGACGGGGTGGGGTCTTGTCAACGTCCCTAGGACCTCCCCAGGCCCAGGCCTTCTCCCGACCACCCACCACACACCCTGCTGGCATCTCTTTGGAGAGAGAAAGAATTAACATTCATTGCTGTGGTACCATGATGCACACAATTGTACACTTCATCTCTTGATATAGCTCGCATGCTAGGGGCCCTGTTTCACAGAGGGGAAAAGCAGTTGAGTCAGAGCCAGAGCTGGCCGCATTCTTTCCCCTGTACCAGTGGTGCTCAGCCTTAGCCGCTCATTGGAAATACCTGGGAAGCATCAGAAAACACAGACACCTAGGGCCCACCCTAGCCCCTGATGTACTTGAGTCTGGGCACATTTAATGGTTTTAGAGCTTCCCAGGTGATTCCAACATACAACCATGTTTGGAAAATAATTGCTCACACTACTCAACGTCTGGTGGTGAGGGTTAACGTGCTGCTAAGCCTTGTGACTAGGTCAGCCCTCCCTGTGGGGGAAGCAGATAGATGCTTAGCCATGACTACTGGGTCCAGGTCAGTCTGTTCACTGCCTCTGACTTCCTCTGGGTTCTCAGCAGACACTTCCTCATGGTGCCCCGCTGCATGTGGCAGCAGTTTTGTTTGACCCAGTTGTCTGAACAGCATGTTTTTTGTTTGTTTTTTTTTGAGTTGGAGTCTTACTCAGTCGCCCAGACTGGAGTGCAGTGCCCGCTCCCGGCCACCGCAGCCTTGACCTGCTGGGCTCCGGCGATCCTTCCACCTCAGCCTTCCAAGTAGCTGGAATTACAGGCGCGCGCTACCACACCCGGCTAATTTTTTGATGTATTGCAGAGATGAGGTCTCGCCAAGTTGCCCAGGCGGGTCTCGAACCTGCGGGCTCAGGCAATCCACTCACCTCGGCCTCCCAAAGTGCTGAGATTACAGGTTGAGCCACCGAGCCCAGCCTGAACAGCATGTTTTTAAATGGTGGTGGCATTTATTATTGTGACACGTATTGAGGGCTTACTATGTGACAGGCCTTGTCCTGGAAGCTTTCTGTGTTTTTTGAAAAAGAAAAAACTAATATAATCATCAGAACAACTTAATGAGGCAAGTAATATTATTATCCCCATCTTACAGGTGAGAAAGCTAAGGCACAGAAAAAGAGGATAACTTGCCACATGACACCAGTCTTCTAAGAAGCAAGACCAGGATCTAAGTCCAGGAAACTGAGTTCCATTCTATGCCCTTATTCCTACCGACAACATTTATTAACAAGTCTTTGCCCCACCCCTGTAATTGACAAGTGCTCCTTTATCATATCTGAAAGTTCTTATCTGAAACAGAGTTTACTTTTGTGTTCTTTTGCTGTATCCACTGATCAACTTGCATATTTTTGTGTCAGATATTTCTTTATGCTAATTATTCTAGCGCTATACAAGGTTGGGTCTGACTGGGTTAGTTTTGGGTCTTTTTTTTCCCCTCAGAATATTTATTTATGCATTCCCTGTTTATTCTTTTGGGAAAACTATAGAATCCTTCAGTCAAGTTTCAAAAATCTCTTATTTCAATTTGACTAAAACTGCATCAAAAAATTGAAAAACTGCCGGGCTCGGTGGCTCAGCCTGTAATCCCACGCCTTTGGGAGGCTGAGGTGAGTGGATTGCCTGAGCCCGTGGGGTCGAGACCTGCCTGGGCAGGTGAGATCTCATCTCTACAATGAGTCAAAAATCAGCCGGGCGTGGTAGCGCACGCCTGTAGTTCCAGCTACTTGGAAGGCTGAGGCGGAAGGATCGCCGGAACCCAGCAGGTCGAGGCTGCGGTGGCCGGGAGCGGCCACTGCACTCCAGTCTGGGGGACAGAAACTCAAAAAAAAAAAAAAAAAAATTTCAACTCAAAAAAAAAATTGAAAAACTGTAATCCATGTAATAATTGCCAAAATACAGAATATCATTCCATGTACCCAAGTTTTCTTTTATAGTTCCACTAACTTCTATTATTTTACTCATTTGTAGATGGAATCTCTTAAGATATTCTATATATAGTTTGCCCATTTATGGCATACAGAAATACTACAGTGTTCTTATATTTTACATATTTAACCATTTTGTTGAATTATTTTATTCTAAGGTTTTTTTTCCATGGATTCTTCTGGACTTCCTGTGTATATAATTACACCATCTAAAATTAATAATTCTCCGTCTTCCTTTCCAATGTTTACGTTCCTTGTTTCAGTTCTTTTCCATGCCTTAGCACGAGGGCCAGCATTTCCAAATGGATGTCAAATAATTGTGGCAACAGCGGGCCCCCTTCTTTTTCCTGGGAATGCCTTCAGTTTACTGTGTACCGTTCGGTCTGATTTGTGAAGAATGTGGAATTCACAGGTGGATGGAGAGGGAGCGGCAGAGCGCAAGGCCAGGAGGGGTCACAGAGCACAAGGCATGCCGGACGCAGCGCATGGCCCAGCTGCAGCTCGCACGGGCTCTTTCCCCAGCTGCACAGAAAACGGGGCACACCTCAGGTGCCCTCCCCCTCTGCCTGCGGGTTGCTCTGGGGCGGGAGTGGGCAAGATGGTACCTGTCCACTGTTGCTCAATGGCACAGACATGGGCTTCAGTGAACTCCCAGGAACACGCCAGCTTCTTCCACTCATGAGGCCGCAGATGGCTGGAGGCCAGCTGCCACAGCACAGAGCGCAGCTGCTGTGTTTCCTGCCGATGGTCCTGCTTAAAGGTCAGGCTCTTCCCAGGGAGGCCGCTGGGGTCCTTGCATGAGAGGTGGTCCTGTAGGGAGATCCAAAAAGTGCTGAAGCCCTTCCTTGTGAACCTGGGCAGGGCAATGCAGGGCCAAAAGCCCTTGTACCCAACTACCACCTCTGCCGGGGAGCCTGGGAACTGGAGCTGGCAGCTGGGGCTTGGTATCCAAGTTTCTGACTCCATGCCTTGCCTTGACTTCTGGAACCAAAGTCTCTCCCACTGTTCTTCCACTGGGAATTTCTCTCCCCACCTCCCTGCCCCTCAATCCCTTTGTCATAGTCAAAAGGTCACCCACAAGCCACTTTCAGGAAGCCTTTCCAAGCTCCTTGGTCAGATGTCTAATCTTGGCCAAAACCAGGCAGGCCAAGAATCACGCTTGCTGAATCCCAACAAGTAGTAAAGAGTAGAATCACAGAACTCTTTCCATGCAAAGCAGGTGATAAAGCTAGAGGTTACACAAGAATTATGTAACAGTATAAAGTAAGCCCAAAAAGCCTAAGCCCCACTAAAGAAAATGGATGTAGCGTTCTGGTGGTTAAAAAGCTCAGGGTGAAAAAAAGACCTTGGCATCAGCAACTCCAAATTTTCCATGCTGGTCAACTGTCTCTGGCCAGTCACTGTGAGTCAAAGCCTGGTTCTCACCTAGGGTGCTAAAAGCTGGTCCCTTGGAACAGAGGTCTCGGCCTCATCTGTTCACTGAGATAATCTGGAAGCTTTAAGAACTACTGATTTCACCTGGCCACACTGGCTCACGCCTGTAATCCCAGCACTTTGGGAGGCAGAGGAAAGAGGAGTGCCTGAGCTCAGGGGTTCGAGACCAGCCTGAGCAACATGGTGAGACCTCGTCTCTACAGTAAATCAAAAAATTCGCCGGGTGTGGTGGCGCATGCCTGTGATTCCAACTACTTGGAAGGCTGAGGTGGAAGGATCGCCTGAGCCCAGCAGGTCGAGGCTGCGGTGGCCATGAGCATGACACTGCACTCCAGCCTGGGTGGCGACAGAGTGAGACTCCAACTCAAAAAAAAAAAAGAACTGCTGATGCCTTGCCCCCACCCACCTCAAAGAGTCTAACTTAATCAGTATCAGGGCACAGAGAGGAGATTTGTGATTCTAACATGTAGTCACTGACTCAGTGGTAAAGACCTAGAAAGCCTGAAGTGGTTTAGTATTAAGCACAGAGAGGAGTCAGTTAGTCAAGTCCTTGGTATTAACATTTTTGGATTATATTTAGGAGTAATCTGTCATGGGTAAAGTGGTTGTAATGTTCAAGAGAATCTAGCATATCAGTGTGTCTATCTAGCATATCTTATGATTCCTAATGACATTTACCAATCAATTGATTTTGAAACAGTGATTTTTATTTAAGAGATATAAAAGAAGTTTACTCAGCTTGTAAACCACATTGGGATGTTTAATATATTTGAGATTATTTATAGATTTTATTTAATGGATTTACAAAGATAATTTAAAAATTTAGGAAGCATTTGAAGTGCTCAGAAAGAAAATCTATTATATTAAATTTATTAATTCAGTTTAAAATGTTTAAAGTAGGCCAGGCACGGTGGCTCACACCTATAATCCCAGCACTTTGGGAGGCCAAGGTGAGAAGACTGCCTGAGCCCACAGGTTTGAGACCAGCCTAGGCAACTTGGCAAGACCTCACCTCCAACAAATCAAAAAATTTATCCGGGCATGGCAGCGCCTGCCTGTAGTGCCAGCTACTTGGAAGGCTGAGGCAGAAGATCACCTGAGTCCAGCAGGTCAAGAGCTGGCTGTGAGCGTGCCACTGCACTCCAGCAAGATGCTAAATGGGCTCCAACATTCATCAAAAGGCTTCCTGGAAAGTGATTGTTAAAATGTAATAGTTTTATAAATAGAACAGTAAAATTTATAACATGAATGTAAAGGTTTAAGAAACACTCAATTTTTTAATTTGTAACTTTACAGATTTCATACCGATGCGCCTCAACTTACCGTGGGGTTACATCCTGATAAAGGTATCATAATTGGAAAACCTATTTAATACACCTGACCTGCTCGTAGCTCAGCCTGGCCTATCTTAAACGTGCTCAGAACACTTACATCAGCCTACGGTTGAGCAAAATCATCTAACATAAGCCTACTGTATTAAAGTGTTGGATGTCTCATGCAATTCATTGAGTACTATACTGAAAGTGAAAAACAGCATGGCCACATGGGTACTCAAAGTACGGTTTCTAATGAATGTGTATCACTTCTGCACCCCTGTAAAGCAGTAAAATGGTAAGTCAAACCATTGCAAGTCAGAGGCAGCCTTTTTTAATACTGAAAATGAAGTAGGCCAGGCACGGTGGCTCAAGCCTGTAACCCCAGCACCAGAGGCAAGAGGATTGCCTGAGCCTGCGGGTTCAAGACCAGCCCAGGTGACATGGTGAGACCTTGTCTCCACAATAAATCAAAAAATTAGCTGGGCATGGTAGCACACGCCTATAGTTCTGGCTACTTGGAAGGATGAGGTGGAAGGCTCTCCGGAGCCCAGCAGGTCGATGCTGGGGTGGCCATGAGTGTGTCATCGCACTCCAGCCTGAGCAATAGAGTGAGACTCCAACTCCAAAAAAAAAAGAAAAGAAAATGAAGTAAATGAAAAATGTATTTTCTGTATATAAAAGCAAAAATTCCCCATCCCCATTTGCTGACTGGAACAGAAAATGCATGGCCTTACATTCTGCCAATCTTCTCACCTATGTACACAGCAGACATTGCTAATCAATCCCAACTTTTCTTCTGGCTCGGAAAGTTGCAAGAACCAAACATTCCAAGGTGAGGTGAATCCAACTGCCATAACATTATTCACGCAAGCACATAGGCATTCACACATGCATGCATTCATGCATTCACCAGCCAGTTGTTACAGCAAAGTCGAGTAGTATCTCTAACTGGCATAGACCTTAGTCCACCTTGTTTTGGCGTGTCTGGATGCTCTCTCATCTCCAGAGCCTCACAAACAACCATGGTGGTATACACGCTGGGAATTATCCCCTACTCGGAGACCAAGGGCCCCCCAGAATTGGTCAGAGCAGGGGTTCAAAGCCAGCTCCACCCAAAGCAAAGGCCACTCCCTTTCCAACACAGAGAGATCAAGCACGGGGTCTCCATACCTTCTTCCATCTGTAGAAACGATCAGCTTTTATGATCATGTCCACCAGGCTGACGTGGTTGCTGCGGGCGGCCACAGCAAGGGCAGTTTTTCCTTGCTGAAATTAAGAGGCAAGAAGGGAAGCCAGTGTTTCTACAGGAGGTACACAGAGTGGCTCTAGCAATGAGGACAAACCCCCTTGCCCAAAGGAAGATGTTTCCAGTAGTCCACAATGGACAGCAGAAATGTGTTCTGGGCATGACGGGGATATGGAAAAGGCACGAGTAAGGCAATAACAACGCACAATCCCAACAACCTCCTCTCCGATTTCGTTAGAACTTAGGGAGCTTCAGGGTTTGTGAAATTCAGCCTCATTCACTCTTCCACATCGCCTGTGAGACAGGGGTCACCACTCATTTTTTAGATAAAGAAACCAGAGCCCAGAGAAGGCACTTGCATTCATCATGTCACTTTTGCCCACCTTCCTACAGGCCACCAGGCTTGGCCCCAGACAGGCACCTCCAGGGACCCACGGTGAAGTGGCAAGCTCCTCTTTGCATCTGGCCAGCTGCCCTGGGGCCCAGCTCAAAGCAGGGAGCTCCCTCCCAGGTCCAGCCTCAGGACCTTATCCTGGCCCCAACTCTACCCCATCCTACCCCAAGGCTGAGTCACGGGTGCAAGTGCCCTTCCCCTCGTGAGCTTGTGACATCCCAGCCTCACACTGAGTCTTCAGTTCCGCTGAGACCTCTCGCAGCTGAGGAAGCAGCCCCTGCCCAGAGACACGATGAGCTGGGAAGTTTCCCCCAAATTCTGCATGTAGGGATTGTGGAATAATGATATATTTTTCTACTCCCATCAGGTGACTCAAGAAGACTACAGTCTGTTGGGGTCCATGAGTCACAAAACAACCAAATCACAGGTGAGACCAGGAGAGAGGTAGGCCAAGGCTGGGGAACTTCCGCAGAGAGAGGGGAGGTGGTGGAAGGTCGAGAAGGCTTCCCGGAGGAGGCTGCGTTTGACCTGTTATATAAAGGATGGGAGTCCTCGAACAGCCTGAGAGGAAGTAGGAAGTAGGGAGGAGTAAGGAGTAGGGAAGAGGATTTCAAAAGCTTGAAGGGAGATTGGTTGTAGGCGGAGGCACCTTATCTCTCAGGTTCAAGTCAGCCCCAGCGACAAGGAGCATCTCTGCTGCATCCTGCCAGGCATGCTCGGCCGCCAGGTGGAGAGGCGTCTGCTGCCTCTGAGGAAGAAGCGAAGGGAACAGTGAACAGAAAGGCGGGTGGGGTGGCCTGCTGCTCAGAGCCAGGTCAAGACCCAGTTGGGGCACTCCAGGTGGGCCTTAATAAAGTTTCTCTAAGAAGTGGGGGGGGAGGCTGGGTTTAACCATAATTAACACCATCCTTGCCAGAGAAAACTTAGCGAAAACAAAAGGTAGAAAGAAGAGAAAAAACACTCCCTAGCTCACCACCATGTCAACCCCACAGTGATCCTCGTATCTTCCTTCTAGTCTTTTCTTTAACGCAGAATGTTTTTAGTGTGTTGGTTTTACATATTTGAGAACATCATGGATAGATAATTTACATCTTATTTTTCTGCCAAATAAACACTCCTCATGGATTATAAACTCTGATAAATACCACTTTTATTGTAAACTTCACAGCAACTTGGATGGACTCAGACTCTATAATACCAAGTGATCTGTCACAGAAACAAAGAACTGAGTGCCACCTGTTCTCACTCATAAGTGGACCCTGAACAATTATCATAACACTCTAAGAAAGGGATTATGAGTGGTGGGAAACTGTGGGGGGTGGCCCACCTCATCAATAAAGGCACCTGATCTGAAACCAGGTGAAGGGGGGCGCCAAAGGGAGGCCCAAACTTTACCTACAGAATGACCTATACTTAACCTTGAATTGTACCCCACAGCTTTAAGATAAAAATAAATAAATAACACACCACTTTTGATAACTCCTTAGGAGCCTATTCATGTCCGTTCCACAATTTACCAAACCACTTCCCTATTATTAAAGATGTGACGGCCAGGCACAGTGGCTCAAGCCTGTTATCCCAGCAGTTTGGGAGGCCAAGGTGACGGGTTTGCCTGAGCCCACGGGTTCAAGAACAGCCTGGGCAACTTGGCGAGACCTCATCTCTACAATAAAAAAAAATAGCCAGGTATGGTAGTGCACATAGTTCCAGCTACTTGGAAGGTTGAGGCAGAGGGATCACCTGAGCCCAGCAGGTAGACACTGAGGTGGATGTGATCATGCCACTACACTCCAGCCTGGGCAACAGAGTGAGACTCCAATTTTTAAAAAAAAGTGTGAGCCATTTTCAAACTGAAGACTGAGACGCAACACTGCAGTTAATATCTCTGTGCATGAGCTTTTAATAAACTTCCTAAGACGCGGTTCCCAGCAGTGCAAATGCAGATCATTTTAAGGGTATGTGATAAATTCTATCAACCTGTTTTCCACTCCCACTGGTTGTGTTCTGTGCCCCTGCTGGCCCAGAGTGTTCCACAGTTGGGGTAAATTGTAAGGACAGGATTTAAAAGGGCTCCTGTTTGGAGCAGTGGCTCACACCTGTCATCCCAGCACTTTGGGAGGCAGAGGCGAGAGAACTGTCTGAGTCCACGGATTCGAGACCAGCCTGGGCAACTTGGCAAGAACACATCTCTGCAATAAGTCAAAAAACTAGCCAGGTGTGGTGGCGTGCACCTATACTTCTAGCTACTTGGAAGACTGAGGTAGGAGGAGCACCTATGCCCAGCAGGTCGAGGCTGCGGTGGCCGCAAGCGTGCCACTGCAATCCAGCCTAGGTAACAGTGAGACTCCAATGCAAAAAGATAAAACAAAAGGGCTCCTTACTGATCACAGCTTCAGGACTCAGAGGCCTCTTTTTACACAAGGCTGTCCAGTCACCCCTGCCCTGGGAATTTTCCCTAAGGAAAGAAAGTAATGAAAGGAAAAGGGGAAATGTAAAAAGACGTTCACTGTAGTGTTACATATCATGGCAAAAAAGTGGCAACAACCAAAACATTAAAAATAGAGGAGTGGTTAATAAAATGTTATTTTCAACAAATATTCAAATAGCACTTTAAAAGCTAAAAAAAGCAAATCCTCAACTTTGGACTAGACCAGCAGGCCACAGCCAAGCCCTGCCAGCCTCGGAGGGTGCCCAAAGGCTCCCTGGGGCCCCCAGGGTCTCCGACCCACTTACATTGTCTGTGGCGTCCAAGTCACTGTGGGAGTTGATAAAGAGCTGGACCACGGCAGGGAAGTTGTGCCTCACGGCAAGGTGCAGAGGGGAGGCGCCCTGCTGTGGGGTGAGATAGCACACATAAGTTGATGGGTCCCTCCCAGGACTGCCCCCTGCAGGGTGGTGCTAGGGACAGGCATAGGGAGGGGTGCAGTGCTTCTGGGTTTGGCTCTTTGGGCTTCTTGGGACGATATGAGTGGCCTGAGGCATTTACAGGCCCAAAGCCTGAGTTTCTGGAATCCGGTACTGATCCTCAAGGGGAGGGCTAGGAGGCAGCAGATCTGCAGACCCAAGGGTGAGACTCTGCTATGTCAGGAATTTACTTTGTGATCCTGGGCTAGTCATTCCCCTTCCCTGCCACTCTTCGTCTAGCAAGGGAGGTTTGCCAAAGTCCCTTCCAGCAACACTGCAAGACCCTCTGATATCTGACGTAATCCACATGTCCAACCTAGAAAGTATACAGGGATGCATTTCTGATTAGTACATCTTACAAACAGAAACATCGAAGTCCAGACAACTTTTTTTTTTTGAGTTGGAGTCTCACTCTGTCACCCAGACTGGAGTGCAGTGGCCGCTCCCGGCCACCGCAGCCTCGACCTGCTGGGCTCCGGCGATCCTTCCGCCTCAGCCTTCCAAGTAGCTGGAACTACAGGCGCACACTACCACGCCCGGCTAATTGTTGATTTATTGTAGAGATGAGGTCTCACTGCCCAGGCAGGTCTCGAACCCGCGGGCTCAGGCAATCCACTCACCTCAGCCTCCCAAAGTGCTGGGATTACAGGCTGAGCCACCGAGCCCAGCTGAAGTCCAGAAAACTTAAGTGACCTGCCAAGGACACATAGCTAATAGGAACCATGTCTTATTGGATTTTCTACTCACCCCCAATGCTCCTACCCCCAGCACCTAGGTAGGTGCCTGGTAACTATTTTTGTAGAAAATTAAGGAATAAGAACGCCAGCTGGGATCAGAAAAGAGCCCTCACTCCAAGTCTAACCCTTCCCAAGGGTGGAACACACCATCCCCACAGGTCTCCTGCTGATCCCTGATTAAATGACAAAGTCGAGAGACAGCCACAGCATCCCCCCATCCAAGTGACATAATGACACATCCTGTGGAATAGTACAAAGCCAATAAAGCTGAAGTTAGAGACTGATACTTTTTGTGGAAAAACACCCTCACAAATCAAGTTATGAAAGGGTTATAGAACAGAACATAAGCACATACAAGAATATCCACTATTGCCATGGCTAGTTTAGGCCAGTAGAGGGGAGAGGTTTATCAATATTAGAGTAGTCTAACAATTATTTGTAGGCAAGTTGACTGGGGGTTAAAACTTACCTCCCCTAAATTCTATGTGTTGGCAACTTAATTCCCAAATTCACGCTGAATGGAGACAGGGGTTTTGGAAGGTAATTAGGACTAGATAATATTATCAGGATGGTCCTATTCCATGGGGATTAGTAGCTTTATAAGGAGACGGAGACCTGGCTAGCAATACTTGCTCTGTCTCACCAAGTCACGCTTCCCACCATGTCATGACACAGTGGCAAGGCCCTCACCAGATGTTGACACCATGTTCTCAGAATTCCTTGCCCCAGAACTGTGAGCTAAATAAGATTTTTTTTTTTTTTGAGTTGGGTTCTCACTCTGTCCCCCCAGCTGGAGTATCACCACAGTCTCAACCTCCTGGGCTCAGGTAACCCTTCTGCTTCAGTCTCCCAAGTAGCTGGGGTTATAGGTGTGTACCACCACACCTGGCTTTTTTTTTTTCTGTAGAGATAAGACCTCACTATGTTGCCCAGGCTGGTCTTGAACTACTATGCTCAAGCAATCCTCCCACCTCAGCCTCCCAAAGTGCTGGGATTACAGGTTTGAGCCACCGTGCCCAGTTGTAAACCCCTATTCTTTATAAATTGCCCAGTTTCTGATATTCGGTTATAGCAACACAAAATGTACTGAGACACCTCCTCCCACCAAAAAAGCCCTAGTAGAATAAAGTCACATAGACAATAAAAATACCATTCAACTCCCTGTATTAAATGCCTATACGATATGACCTGTAAAAGTTTCAAAAGACATTCTGAATATATATTTTGACAGTGACAATCAAAATATATAGAGTATCTATGAAGGATACAATTAGAAATGGGTAAATTCAAGACAAACCAAAAGCTTGATAACATCACTAAGGAATATAAAATAAGATCAAAGAAATGGCAAGACATCCAAGGTGAGTGGATTGCCTGAGCCTGCAGGTCTGAGACCCACCTGGGCAACTTGGCGAGACCTCATCTCTACAATAAATCAAAAACTAGCCGGGCGTGGTAGCGCGTGCCTGTCGTTCCAGCTACTTGGAAGGCTGAGGCGGAAGGATCATCGGAGCCCAGGAGGTCGAGGCTGCAGTGGCCGGGAGCGGCCACTGCACTCCAGTCTGGGTGACAGAGTGAGACTCCAACTCAAAAAAAATAATAATATTTGGGGCAGTATAAGAAGAAAGAAATATAGATGATTTTTATCATTTTCTAATCTTCCTTTTATGCTTTCTTTTTTTTTTTGAGTTGGGGGTCTCACTCTGTTGCCCAGGCTGGAGTGCACAGGCAGGATCACAGTTCACCACAGCCTCAATCTCCTGGGCTCAGGTGATCCCTCCATCTCAGCCTCCTGAGTAGCTGGGACTACAAGACCGTGCCACTACACCCAGCTCATTTTTTTTTTTGTAGAGACAAGGTCTCACTATGTTGCCTTGGCTAGTCTTGAACTCCTGGGTTCAAGTGACCCTCCCGCCTCAACCTCCCAAAGTGCTGGGATTACAGGCATGAGGCACCATGCCCAGCCAGTTTCTTTCTTTAATACATGTTTAGAGTTTAACTTTGCTAGAAGATCTAAGTTAATATTTGAATATATAGAAAGACATATGTCACTTAATTATCTTCAAATTGATCTGTACATAACATACATTAACTAATTAAAGCATTAATTACAGTGATTACATTAAATCTTACATTTTTTTTTAATTGACAAAATTACTTGTCTGAGTCACTTCAGGCTGCTGTTGCAAAACGTCCTAAACGGGGCAGCTTGTTTATATCTTGTGGTTCTGGAGGCTGGGAAGCCCAAGACTAAGGCGCTGGCTGAGATGGTGTCTGGGGAGGAGCTGCTTCCTGATGCAGAGCACAGACCGATATGTGAAGGTGAATGGGCAGTGGCCTCAAAGAAACTGGTTTTTGCACAAAAACAAAATCCACCGATGTAAACAAAGGATCTGAAGAAATAATTTGTAACATGAACTTCCACAGGAAAAGTGAACTAGTGGAAAAAGAGCACTAGTCATCAAAGACATTCAAAGTAAAATAACAAAAAATCATGTAACTACAACACCTGATATTGATGAAAGGTCACATAAATTATTAGGGGTTATTTGGTCTGACCTTTCTGGAAAGCAATTAGACAACTTATATCAAGAATCATACAGATGTTTTTGCCACCTGGCCCAGAAGTCCTGTTTGGGGAATCTAAACATAATGCAAAAGAAAGAAAAAGTGAGATGTCATAAAGAAGTTCCCGAAATCATCATTCACAGTGGCAAAATCAGAACCAACTTAAATATCCAACCATTGGGGACCTGCTGAGTAAAACGTGATGTGGTCACTGGACCCTAAACATGAGCATGAAACACGGGCAACAGGAAAGCGATGTCACAGGGCAGACTCCTGGACTAGAACCAGGATTCTGGTCTTTTTTTTTTTTTTTTGCAGGGAGTGGGGGTGTCTCACTATGTTGCTCAGGCCGATCTCCAACTCCTGGCTTCAAGCAGTTCTCCCACTTCAGCCTCCCAAGAAGCTGGGATTACAGGCGCAAGCTACATACAGCACCTCGCTAATACAGCTGGCATCTTGATGGGAAAAAACATGTAAGCATCCTCCTTTCCAGAATTCTGCCTTAGCCTGGATTCTTTCTAACTGGGGCTGATACTATACATGTGGGAGAAATCTGGGAGGGAATAAAGAAAAGTCATTGTTTCACTAGGGTTTGGGGATTAAGGATCCCCTTCTTTTTCCCCTCTATATTCCAATGAACTATGTTGTGCTATTTTTACAATAATTTTAAATATAGTACTTATTTTAGTTGTGAGTTTTTTGGGGGTTTTTTGAGCCAAAAGTCTCATTCTGTTGCCATGCTAGAGTGCAGTGACATACTCGCAACCACTGCAGCCTCGACCTGCTGGGCTCAGGTGATCCTTCCACCTCAGCCTTCCAAGTAAGTGGAACTACAGGCGTGCACCACCATGCCTGACTAATTTTTCTTGTAGAGACGAGGTCTTGCCAAGTTGCCCGGGCTGGTCTCAAACCCCTGAATTTAGACAATCCTCTTGCCTCGGCTTCCCAAAGTGCTGGGATTACAGGCATAAGCCATTGCGCCTGGCCTCCCTTTCTGATTTAAACAATAGATATTTCCTCATTTATATAATGAGAATAATAATAGTATCTACAAGGAAGGAAACAGGCCCACGACAATCAAAGCAACTTGCCCAAGGTTATTCAGTGTGTAGTGCCATGGCTCACAGCCAGACTGTCTAACACCAAAGTCTGTGCCTTAACCACAGAATTATACTGTTCCTGTATGTCTACCAAATAATCACAACAGGAAAAAAATAAAGTGGCTAGACTGATAATAGAAAAGACTATTACAGACCGGGTGTGGTGGCTCAAGCCTGTAATCTCAGCACTTTGGGAGGCCAAGGTGAGAGGATTGCCTGAGCCCAGGGGTTCGAGACCAGCCTGGGCAACTTGGAGAGACCTTGTCTCTACAATAAATCAAAAAATGAGCCAGGTGTGGTGGCGCACACCTGTAGTTCCAGCTACTTGGAAGGTTGAGGTGAAAGGATCGCCTGAGCCCAGCAGGTGGAGGCTGCAGTGGCCAGGAGCATGCCACTGCACTGCAGCCTGGGCAACAGAGTGAGACTCCGACTCAAAAAGAAAAAGAAAAGAAAAGACTATCACTAAGACCCAATGAATGCATGAGCAGAGAACACAAGTGGGTAATTCCATCTGGAGGAAGTGCAGGCTTGGTGTCTGGTCCTGTTCTAGCCAGAACGCTATTCGCCTCTCCTAAGTGCAGTTAGCTTCCCTAGTTCTGGCCCCTACCACAACCTCAGGGTTCGAGGTTCCCACTTCTCTCTGCTGTGCTTCAACAATATGGCCATGGAAGGCCTTGCAATGAGAACCACCTTCAACTCGGGTCCCCACACTTACATGATCAGCCACATTGGTGCAGCCTCCTGCGTGGATGAATGCCCGACACAGGTCCTCAGAGCCTCCAAGCGCCGCGTAGTGAAGGCAGCTCCATTTTTTCTGGAGGGAAACAGGCATCATGGCAATGTCACAAGGACCCCTCTTAGTGGGGTTTACAAAGCTCTTTGAGATTTATTTTTTGCTGGGTGCAGAGGCTCACACCTGTCATCCCAGCACTCTGGGAGGCGGAGGCGAGAGGACTGCCTGAGCCCATGGGTTCAAGACCAGCCTGGGCAACTTGGCAAGACCTCATCTCTACAATCAATCAAAAAATTCACTGGATGTGGTGGCACATGCCTGTGGTTCCAGCTACTCGGAAGGCTGGGGTAGAAGGATCACCTGAGCCCAGTAAGTCAAGGCTGCGGTAGCCATGAGCATGCCACTGTACTCCAGTTTGGACAACAGAGTGAGGCTCCTCACAAAAAAAGAGACTTAGTTTCCTGAGTGTCACAACTCCCCTGAGACTTTTATCCCCATTAAACTCTGAAGCGCCGGGCTCGGTGGCTCAGCCTGTAATCCCGCGCCTTTGGGAGGCTTGAGGTGAGTGGATTGCCTGAGCCCGCGGGTTCGAGACCCGCCTAGGCAGCGAGACTTCATCTCTACAATAAATCAAAAAAAATCAGCCGGGCGTGGTAGCGCGTGCCTGTAATTCCAGCTACTTGGAAGGCTGAGGCGGAAGGATCGCTGGAGCCCAGCAGGTCGAGGCTGCGGTGGCCGGGAGCGGCCACTGCACTCCAGTCTGGGCAACCGAGTGAGACTCCAACTCAAAAAAAAAAAAAAAAAAAAAACTCTGAAGCCAGAGAAATCAAGGACTTGCCCAGGCCTGGTGACGACTGAAAAGAACTCTCTGCGGTCTCCGCTTTTTCCTCCCCTCATCTCGCAAACTTCGGAATTGTAGACCAAAGTCTGCCAAGCTCCTGGGCTGGTAAAGACACACAGATTACAGGCTCTGAGGAGATGGTTTTCAACAAGAAGGACAAACAAGACTTGCCAACACAGGGCAAGCCCCACACTCAACACGCATTGTCCCATGAAGCCTGCAGGAGCTGGGCTCAGAGGGTCCACGAAGGAGGCCAACAGGACCATGGAGGCTTGCTGCAAAGAGCCCACCCTGACCCAATGATCACCTCACACAGGATACACACCAGGAGGGCCCCACTAGGGTGACCAACTGTCCCAGTCTGCCCAGGACTGAGGAGGCCCTGGGACTTGGGACTTTCCGATTTAAAATCTGGACAGTGTGGGGCAAACCACGACCAAGCTGATCACTCCATCAAGGTCCCAACTGAGCAAGTACACAGGGTAGGCAGGACTTGACCCACTTCCCGGGGGAAATGCAGTCACCATGGTCTTGTCTCCCCACAGAGACTCTGCTGCATGACACTCTGGGAGGGGTGGGCGTGTTGACATGGCCTGTGATCTCTGCCAGGGCCTCGAGCTGAGGCTGGCGCATGAGACCCGGCACAACGGGCATTTCCAACAACCCAGTGGTCACCCAGCTGGACGCGGCCTCTCTAGCCTCTGAATGCCTATTGCTGTGACTGTGAGGGCGTGGCCATATCATCTCACTTCTTCTGTGCCCCCTCCCAGGACTTACTACTGTGCTGGGCACAGAAAAAGGACCTTGTTGACCAAAGAGCAGCACCATGCCAATGGAAGTACGTTAGCTGGGTCCCAATCCTTCTGGGGTGGGTAGTTCCCACACTTTCCAGGGAAGTTCTGTAAATTCAGAACATGCTTAAAAATACAGAGTGATGCTGAAACTTCCATATTGATTCTCTGCTCATTGAGTGCCTAAGCTGGTCTCGATGGTTTGTGGTGAGCAAAGCACCCAAGATGTGCCATCCTCTTTACAGAGTTCATGGTCAGATTAAGCCACACGTGAGCTCTACAGCCCATTAAGGTGATCCTTACTGAAAAGGAACAAAGTATACCTAAACCAGAAGAGGACATTTCACAGAAGAAAAAGATATCCCAGAAGAAAGCCCGGCGGTTAACAATAATTTACTTATAATACTATAAGAGCCAGGCTCGGTGGCTCAGCCTGTAATCCTACGCCTTTGGGAGGCTGAGGTGAGTGGATTGCCTGAGCCCGCGGGTTCAAGACCCGCCTGGGCAGCGAGACCTCATCTCTACAATAAATAAATTTTTAAAAAATCAGCCGGGCATGGTAGCACATGCCTGTAATTCTGGCTACTCGGAAGGCTGAGGCGGAAGGATCGCTGGAGCCCAGCAGGTCGAGATTGCGGTGGCCGGAAGCGGCCACTGCACTCCAGTCTGGGCAACAGAGTGAGACTCCAACTCAAAAAATAAAAATAATAATAATAATAGTACTATAAGAAAGGGATTGGCAGTAGTGGGAAACTGTCGGGGGCGGGGTGGGATTGGCAGCTGAGGGAAACTTCTAGGGGAGGGAGGGGCATACCTCATCAACAAGGGTACCTGCATAATCAACATTTGTATACCTAACCCTGAATTGTACCCCACATCTTCATAATAAAACAAAGAAAAAGCAGCCAGGCGAGACCTCATCTCTACAACAAATCAAAAAAAATGAGCCAGGCGTGGTAGCGCACGCCTGTAGTTCCAGCTACTTGGAAGGCTGA